AGGGGGGGGCGGGGGGAGGCGGAGAGGGTGGCGGTGGCGATGGCGGAGGGGAGGGTGGCGGAGGGGGAGACGAAGGCGGCGGCGGAGACGATGGTCGCGAGGAAGCCAGCTCTCAGAATTCTTCCTCGATGTTCTCCCCAAGCCTCTCTCACAGCACACTGGCACGACAGGGGCGCGGACTGGCGCGGACGTGTCCTGTTGTCAGCGTCCGCTCCGATCGGCACTCGGAAAAGAAAAAATCGCCCCAAAATAAAGAAAACTCGGCGGCTCCCAAGGCGCTCGTCGGTTCAGAGCGACCCCAACGATCAAGCTCGGGCCTTAGCCATGGTGCTCGAGAAGATCTACGTCGGCGTGACGATGGCGAACAAGTGGACGGACCCCACGTCCTTGCTAATCATCGGCCTCGCCGGCGGCGTCCCTGCGCTGCTCATCGCCGAGGCGCGCAGCAGCCTCGCCACCGTGTGCACTCCTCGCCAGAGCCGCCGGCGCACCACCAGCGGTACTCGACGCACGCCCGCAGCGCCTCCACCGAGCGCTCCTGCCGCACGGACGCCACTGCCACGCGCGGGAGCACCTCCGCCGCTCGCCACCGCCGCCGCTCGGCCTGACGGCACGTCCTGCTCCTTGGCAGGTGGCGATCGCGCTCAAGGTGGGGCTGGTGTACACGGCGGTGCTGCCTGGCCTGATCTGGCTCTGGTACCAGTTCCACCTCCGGACGCCGCCCGCCGACACTGAGGCCTTCCTCACCTTCAAGGACGCATCGCTCCGCCGCAGCTGGGCAAAGTGCGCCTCGCGGACTAGATGCAGATTAGATGCGGGCGTGGTTGCTTGTGGTGGCGTTCGGCCTGCCGCTCGAGCGCTCGGCCCCTTCCGACCCTCCCTCCTCCCCTGTGCACGTCCCCGTCGACGCTGCCTCCCTCTCGCGCCATCTCTCCGCCGCTCGTCCCTCCCTCTTGCGCGCACGCACGCAACGAATGCACGCACCGCCCGCGTTGTGCCGGGCCTTGCAAGCCCGACCCTCACAGCTCCCCTGCCCCCGCAGGAACAAGATCCCGATGCACATCCTTGTCGAGGCCTTCCTGGACGACAAGGTCGCCTTCAAGAAGGACGTCTTCAAGACGCTCGACGAGCACCGCGAGGACTTCATCGACTGGCGCCCCACCTGGAACCTCGCCCTCTTCCTTATCCGGCAGGTGACCCTGACCCTGACCCTGACCCTGACCCTGACCCTGACCCTGACCCCACCTGGAACCTCGCCCTCTTCCTCATCCGGCAGGTGACCCTGACCCTGACCCTGACCCTGACCCTGACCCCACCTGGAACCTCGCCCTCTTCCTCATCCGGCAGGTGACCCTGACCCTGACCCTGACCCTGACCCTGACCCTGACCCCACCTGGAACCTCGTCCTCTTCCTCATCCGGCAGGTGACCCTGACCCTGACCCTGACCCTGACCCTGACCCTGCCCCCACCTGGAACCTCTCCCTCTTCCTCATCCGGCAGGTGACCCTGACCCTGACCCTGACCCTGACCCTGACCCTGACCCCACCTGGAACCTCGCCCTCTTCCTCATCCGGCAGGTGACCCTGACCCTGACCCTGACCCTGACCCTGACCCTGACCCTGACCCTGACCCTGACCCCACCTGGAACCTCGCCCTCTTCCTCATCCGGCAGGTGACCCTGACCCTGACCCTGACCCTGACCCTGACCCTGACCCCACCTGGAACCTCGCCCTCTTCCTCATCCGGCAGGTGACCCTGACCCAGACCCTGACCCTGACCCTGACCCTGACCCCACCTGGAACCTCGCCCTCTTCCTCATCCGGCAGGTGACCCTGACCCTGACCCTGACCCTGACCCTGACCCTGACCCCACCTGGAACCTCGCCCTCTTCCTCATCCGGCAGGTGACCCTGACCCTGACCCTGACCCTGACCCTGACCCTGACCCCACCTGGAACCTCGCCCTCTTCCTCATCCGGCAGGTGACCCTGACCCTGACCCTGACCCTGACCCTGACCCTGACCCCACCTGGAACCTCGCCCTCTTCCTCATCCGGCAGGTGACCCTGACCCTGACCCTGACCCTGACCCTGACCCTGACCCCGACTCTGACCTCGACCTCTTCCTCATCCTGAACGTGACCCTGACCCTGACCCTGACCCTGACCCTGACCCTGACCCTGACCCCGACCCCGACCTCAACCTGAACCTGATCCTGACCCTGACCCTGACCCTGACCCTGACCCTGACCCTGACCCTGACCTCGACCCCGACCTCAACAGTCCAATACCTCCTGAACCTGACCCTGACCCTGACCCTGACCCTGACCCTGACCCTGACCCCGACCCCGACCTCGACCCCAACCTCAACCTGACCCTGACCCTGACCCTGAACCTGACCCTGACCCTGACCGTGACCCTGACCCCAACCCCGACCTCTGCCTCACCCTAAACCTGACCCTGAACTGACCCTGACCCTGACCCTGACCCTGACC